GAAGACCCTGGATAAGATGGACTGATAAAGTAACTGGGACACTGGGGGTAGATGTATCGGAGTCAGCGACATTGGCTCAGAACTGGGCAGGGTTCAAAACTACAGTACATTGGGTTGCTTTGAGTTGTAGATGACTCAATGGCACATAGCAATAGTAACAGAAAAACAAACAAACAAAAAACCAAACCACTAAGGTCGCTTATTTTCTCTGAGGTGTGGTAATGTTTTTGTATTCATATATAACTGGTCATAAGAGTTGATTTTATATATTCCAGCATGAAGAGTGGGTGTGCTACTGTGCTTGGTAGTTTGGCAGTACTTAGGCACTTACCATCTGTCTCTTGCTTGGTATGATTGGAGGAAGGGAGTGTGTGCACAGATCTGTGTTCCCGTTCATATAACCTGGTTGAGGGTGGGTTGGGCTGGTATTAGCTTCTATGTTTCATTGATCAGATGGTGCAGGAGTGGGTGATGGCCCTCATCCAGCCATTAAGATTGTAGGAGGTGTAGACAGAGACAGACAGCTGCAGTCTCCTGCTGGGTAGAAAAAAAATAAATACATAAATAAAGCAAGGAAGAAAGCTAAAGGGGAAAAGAGCAAAAATTACAAATTAAAAAACCAGGAGAAATAAAGAGAAAAATCCCCAGTAATAACACAAAGGAAAAGAAACAATTAAGAAGGGGTTTCTGTCATCTCAGAAGGTGACCAGGAGGAGGATGCCTGGTTTGGCATTAATATTCCACTGGTTTTGACTCTTTTCCCTTCATAGGAGGTATCCTCTTTAGCTCCTTGGTCCTAGTGTCTTGATACTACCAAATAAAACGGTGACTCCACCTATACTGAATAACCATCTTTATCTTTGTTGTTGTTGTTATGGGCTGTCGAGTCACCTGCAACTCATAGTGATCCTATGAACAACAGCCCTAAACCCTGCTCTGTCCTGTGCCAACCTTACTGTCTCTGGCACACCCACCCCAATTACCCCAATCACTTAATCAATCTACCTCATAGAGGGTCTGACCCTCTTGTGCTGTCTCTCCACCCTCCCAAGCATGACGTCCGTCTCCAAGGACTGGTCCTTCCTTGCAACATGTCTAAAGTACGTCAGACAAAGGTTCTGAATCCTTGCCTCCAAGGAGCAGCCTGGTTTAATCCTCTCAAGGGTGAACCTTTTAATTTTCTTAGCAGTCCGTGGTATATTCAATATTCTTCTCCAGCACCACAGCTCAAAGGCATTAATTCTCCTTCTATCCTCCCTCTTTATTGTCCAGATTTTTGACACATAGCAAGTGATTGCAAAGGCCATGGCCTGTATCAGTATCAGACACAGCTTAGTCTCCAGTGTGACACCATTGCTCTTCAGTACTTTGGGTAGGTCCCTCACAGCAGACTGTCCCATCACAATACCTCTTTTAATTTCCTGGCTGCTGGTGCCAACTGTGTTGACTGTGGAGTCAAGCAAACTAAAGCTGTTTACAATCTCAATCTCTTCACCATCCATCCTGATGCTGCCAATTGGTCCAGCGGTGAGAATCTTTGTCTTCTTGACATTGAGCCTCAATCCATATTGAAGGCTGCAGTCCTTGACCTTCTGCAGCAAGCGCTTTAGGTCCTCCTCAGTTTCAGCAAGCAGGGTTGTGTCGTCTGCATAATGCAGATTATTGATAGATTTTCCACCAATACTGATACCACACTTCTCCTGATAGAGCCCAGCCTCCCGGATAATCTGTTCTGCAAACAGGTTGAAAAGGTATAGAGATAGGACACATCCCTGTCATAAACTCTTCCCAATTTTGAAACATGAAGTGTTTCCTTGTTCTGTTCTGATGACTGCCTCTTGGTCCAAATTTAGGTTTCACATTACCACGATCAAGTGTTCTGGAATTCCCATTCTTCTCAGAGTCAGCCACAGTTTGTTGTGATTCACACAAACATCTTTGCATAATCAATGAAACACAGATAGACATTCCTCTGGTACTCCCTGCTTTCAGCCAAAACCTTTCTATCACTAGCTACAATATCCCTAGTACCAAGCCCTTCAAAACCCAGCCTGAACTTCAGGCAGTTCTCTGTTGATGTGCTGTTCTAGTCCTTTTTGGATAATCTTCAACAGAATCTTGCTTGCATGTGATATAAATAACATTGTTCAATAATTTCCACACTCTGTTGGGTCACCTTTCCTTGAAATGGGAATAAATATAAACCTCTTTCAGTTAGTTGGCCAAGTGATTGTCCTCCAGATTTCTTGACACAACTTGGTGAGCACATCTAGGGCAGCATCTGTTAGTTGAAATCTGTCAATTGGTATACCATCTATTCCTGGGGCCTTATATTTTGCCATTTCTTTCAAAGCAGCTTGAACTTCTTCCATAGGCTCTTGCTCATATGTTGTTTTATGAAATTCTTCTCTATCCACCACTTCCTTTTGGTACAATGACTCTGTATACTCTTTCCATCTTCTTTAAATATTTCCTGGATCATTTAATATTCTGCCCGAAGCATCCTTAAGTATAGCAACTTAAGGTTTGAATTTGTTCTTCAGTTCTTGAGCTTAAGAAACGCCGAGCAAGTTTGGCCCTTTTGATTTTCTGACTGCAGCTCCTTGCACATTTCATTATAATATTTTACTTTGTCTTCCTGAGCTTCCTTTTGAAATTTTCTTAACATCTTTAATTATTCCCTCTACTTTTGCTTCTCAGTGCTCCAGTGCAGTTTAACACATTTATTATAATAATATCTTTAGACAGGATTTCTAATTTCCACACATTAGCTTTCAGGAGAAAGCTTAATACTTAATGATATTAAGTATATATGGGTTCTTTATGATTTGCTCAGTTCTTTTTTTAAAGAAATTATTCCAATTTATTTACAAAGTTTGAAAACATTGCTTTTCATAAAAGATCCTTCACATTTCCTTAACCCCACCCACACATTGAATTGTGCCGCCCTATGATTAACAACCTACCCCCCCATCCTCACCCCTCTATTTCAAACCCTCCAACCCCTTTTTGGATCCTCATACTCCTTCTACAATAATGGTTTTATACAGTATTTGTCTTTGTGGGACTGAGTTAGTTCACTCAATATAATGCTCTCCAGTCCCTCTCAAGGTAGGTAATAATTTACAAAATAATTGCTCCTGTGTGCTGCATCGTATTCCATTGTATGAATGTACCACAACTTCTCAACCCATTCGTGTTCAGTTCTTAAAGCCTTTTGGGGTTTTCTTGTTTTGTTTTGGTTTTGGTTTGTTTTTTTTTTTGCTTTTGTTTTAATTTTTTCTAGTGTTTCATACTAAAACTTTTATTTTATACCAAAAAATTTTCTTTATTTACAGATAGTAATTCACATTGTGTTTCCTGCATGTATATTGTGTTTCAGACAACCTTTCATTTATGTTGTGATTCATTCATATACATTGTGTTTTGTACATTCATTTATATATGCTATTATATGCACAGGAATCAGATCAGTTACATCTGTGGAAAGACTTGTTGGAGAATCTCAATATCAGCTGTGAAAACTAGGCTGGGTGCTGATTGTGGAACAGACCATCAACTACTCATATGTGAGTTTAAACTAAAGCTAAAAAAATAAACAAACAAAAAAAAAACATTAAACCCACAAGACCCAAAATTTGATCTTGAGTCTATCCCACTTAAATTTAGAAAGCATCAAAGAAACAGACTTGAGAATTTGAACTGTAATGAACGAAGATCAAATGATCAGTGGGAGCATACCAAGAATATTACCCATGAAGAATACAAAAGGGCTGTACAAAGATAGAGGAGGAAGGGAAGCCTAGGATGGGTGTCAGAATAGACTCTAAATAGTGCACTAAACGAGAAGCCAAAGGAAAGGGAAGAAAGCAGGAAGTATAGGAGCTGACTAGAAGATTCCACAGGGCAGCTTGGAAAGACAAAGCAGAGTATTTTAATAAAATGTGCAAAGATCTAGAGTTGGAAAATTAAAAGGGACAAACTCAATTGGCATGTCTAAGCTGAATGAACTGAAGAACAAATTCAGCCTTGAATTGAAATACTTAAGAATGTTATGGGCAGAATATTGAATGATCCAGGAAGCATTACAAGAAGATGGAACAAGACAGAACTGAGGCTTCCCTGGGGACAAGCCCCCCATTTTGGGATTCTAGCCTCAGTGGCTGCAGGGCCATTCCAAAGGCCAAACAGGATAAGAGAGTTTGGGACACAAAGCTACAAGCAGGACAAAGATTTTCTCAGCTTTCTGCTAGAGGGAAGGCTGATTTGAGATCCTCTGCACATGATCTGCTTGAACTGGTTGCCCTGATCTTGTACCACTCCAGAGACAAAGGAAGGCATAAGCTTCTGGAGAAAAGGTGTATGAAAAACTGCTCCAGTGAAGCACCTGGTCTTACACCACTCAGCCACTTCATACAACAAAGGAGGACAAAGGAATTTGGAACAGGAGACTATATCAATGTGTGATTCTTGCAGGGCTGCAGTGCAGAACAGAGAGGGCCTCAAAGACTTTAGAAAGACAATTTTTCCCATAAAAGACTTTCAGTAGAGTGAGTGCCTCACCCAATAGATTGAACATTTTAACCTGGCTAACTAATTAATAACATTATAAAGACAAGAACTGTCAACAACTTACACAGGCACAATATAAACAGCCTAATATTTATCAAGAAAAACTTCACATGATAGTGAGAAAGCATCAGGCAGCTTCAAACACTGTGAAATAAACAAATTAAGCATCCTCCAAAACAAGAAGAGAACATAGAAGACTTCATGAATAACCCAGAGATAAGAAGATAGATGATAGAGGTTGATATGGAGACATTAGAACAGCTACAAATGATGGAAGAAACAATGACAGCCACAAATCAAGGAAATAACCTAGAGGTACAGAACCAGAAAAAATATATTGGTGAGAAGTTATTTCAACAGCTATGGAAGAAGGTACAAATGGTGGAAGAAGCAATGGAAACCACTAAGAAAGCAAACACTCTTGAGACATGGAGCCAGAAGAAAGTATTGATGAGGAGTTCCCCAGTGAATGCTTCCACAGTTTGGATGGAACAGACCCAGCGATTCCCCACCTCCAGTCTCAGATTACCCTCCGACTTCATCAACAGGTGTAACTCGATATTATCTTCTTAGGCATCTCCTATTTTGGGACCAGCTAACACAGTTTTTTTTGTTACCCCAAAACTTTGACCACCTATGAGCTCTCAGATTCATCAGAATTAGGAGGCCAGAGTCAACGATCTGGTCAAATTGCACACGTGAGCCTCTTACACCTACCTCTCTGGGCCAGGACAATGAGCCTAGAAAGGTGTAGAACACGTTTTCCTTGAGTTGACGAAGGAGAATTGTGAAGGTGCCAAGCATCTCTTGAAGCTGCAAAACCAGAGCGGTGGCCATACCCTCTTCCAAGATATACAGAAGCCATCCCAGGACAAATGGGGTAAAACCCTGGACACCATGGAAATAGCACTGGCCGTGGTGAAGAACCAGGCCCTTCTGGAACTGCATGCTGCAGATTCTGACAACACAGATCTCCATATTTATGACTTTCTGAAGAACCATTTCCTGGAAAAGGATGTGAAACTTCTGAAGTGTTTATCTAACCAACATTAGAAGACTGTCAGGCCACAATCTGGGCTGGGCAAGATTCTCTTTGAGTGACTCACCCTCAAGCATGAGTAGAAGAGACCTAAAGCGGGGTCCTCTGCATCCCTTTGCCATCAGCAGCAAGCTTCTCTTTCTCAACCTGGTGTAAAATCTTATCCAGCCAGAACCCTAGAAACTTTGGACCAAATGGAACAAAAAAAAAGCTTTTTACAAAAGCAAGAAAGGAAGTCTATCCACGAGGAAGAACTTGCACTACTATGAAGAAAATGAAAAAGATGGGAGAAAGAACTGAAACTATAGATGAAGAGATACATGAACTTAAAAAATCATCACAAGATAGAGTACTGCCAACACAGAACTAGAAATAAGAGAAATGCATGAAAATGCAATCCAGAATACTAATACCAAAATGACAGAAATGTCAAACATGCTGGAAGGACAGCAAAAATAGAATAGAAGAGATGGAGCAGAGAGTCAGTGAGCTGGAAGACAAGAACTTCAAAATACTACAAGAAACATACTAGAAGAAAAATCACAGAGGAGACAAAGATCATAAAGAAAACATTAGAATAATGCTAGAAAAGATCAAAAAATAACATATGAGTTATTGGAATTCCAAAATATGAGAGCAGCAGGGAAAGCACTGAGAATATTGTGGAAGAAGTTGTTTGTTATTGCTTTCATGTGCCGTCAAGTTGCCTATGATCCATAGTGACCCCATGTACAGCAGCTCTGAACCCTATCCTGTCCTGAACCAGTCTCACTAATTCAGACACAAAATCCCCCTTTGCCCCAGTTACTGTATCAATCCATCTCATCTGGGGTTTCCCTCTCCTGTGCTGTCCCTCCACCCTTCTGAGCATGATGTTCGTCTCCAACAAAAAAAAAAAGAAAAACCCGAGAGCCCTTCAATATTTTAACATTCTGGCATGCCCAAATGTGGGCCAACTCTGGGCCAAAGACCCCCAGTTCATCTGGCACTTAACAACACAGTGAGAGACCAGTTGGCCTAGTGGACCAAAAGCAATGCTACCAAGCCAAAGGTGGGTGACTCTAATCCATGCCCCTAAGGCCTGTTTTTCATTATTTTTGTTCAAACAGTCTTCTAAGTCATATAGCCCTGGTGTGTCTACTTGCCATACAGAGGTAACTTGTGGTTGCTGTGAAGCTGAACACTGTGACACTGATGTGTCAAATATAATAACAGTTACCCATGGTGGACAGTGTTTGGTGGTGCTCCCCAGTTGAAACAAGCTTGGAAGCAGGAGTGGCATCCTCTTCTGTAAATAGCTTGCTTCCGGAAACTCTATGAACCTGGAGAAAGGATGAAAGTCGCGATAGTTGAGGACTTTTGTTCATAGGGTCCCTATGAGTTGCTTACAACTCGACGGCACTTTTTTAAAAAAAGTTTTACCTTAAAGTGCATAATGGCTCCCAATTGCTAAAGGTCTAGTGCTAGTGATAGCAGATGCAGGAGGCAAAGCAGTAGCATTAATATGTAAGTGAAATGAAAGATTTTTAAATTACAAGAAGGTGGAAAATCAGTGAACGCTATTTCTTTCATGTCATGCTTGACAATCAGGACAGCCCTCAGAAACAAAGAAAAAATTTTCCAAGCTGCTGAGAGATTTTTTTACACTGAAAAGGCTAACAAAAATCCATGAGGGAGCTCTATTAGATATGGAGAAATTGCTAATGATGTAGATTGAGGACCAAATATAAAAGGGAATCACTCTCAGCATGTTTGTGATCATTGCTAAGGTACAAAGCTTGTTTGAGATACTGAACAAAAATGCAGAGCCAGACTTGGCTATGGTATTTGTATAATATCCAAATCACATATTGTCTTCTTTCACAAACATACATGGAAATGAAGTGATTCATGACTGTATATATAAAAAGAGATGATTTAACTTTACCTTTATGAAGATGTGTCAAGTTAATTAATAAATGTATATTGATAACTCTTAAAAATATTTTCATGTTAAAGACGAATTGATTATAGTTCTTCCAGATCTAGAGTGAAAATTCAGAATTTAGAAGCCCAGATGCCTTGTTGTTGTTGCATGCTGTTAAGTTGACTCATAGTGATCCTTTAGAGAAGACCTTATAGGGTTTCCTGGATGATCTGTTGTTTACACAGTTACTGTGAGTCATAGTCAACTTAACAGGGCACCTGATGACAACCAAGAATCAAAATTTTTGTGGGAAAGAGAAAAAAAAATTCGTACAAAGCAACAGTTATTGTTGTTGTTGTTGTTAAGTGCCGTTGAGTAGTAGGCAACCCATAGCGACCCTATGAACAATGCTTCACCAAAAACAATTAAAAACAGGCCTGAAGGCTATGGATTAAAGTCACCAACCTTGGCTTGGTAACATCACTTTCTGTCCATCAGGCAAACTGAATTACTAACCTTTCAGTTAGCAGCCAAATGCTTAATCATTGTGCCACTAGGGCTCCTTATAAATAGGTTAGCCAGGATATAATCAAGATATATTTGACTATCTAAAGGTAATTTAATTTCAAGTAATGGAAAATACAACATTACTGTAGTGTATGACAAATTCAGTAATTTATGTTCTCTTGTAAATACATGCATTATATGATAACAGTAAATTATCTTGTCTCGTCCTGAAACTCAGGTCAGTATCGCACGTGAAAATAAAGAAGAAAAAACACAAATACAGCTATTGCCGCAACATGCAATCATAGCTGCCTACCTAATTCGCCTAAAGAGAATTGTATGTTTGGTATTGCAGGGATGGTAATGCAATGATGGCAGAGTAATCTGTGTCCAATTGTGCCTCACATGTTCATCATGAAACTGTCAGATGAGTTTTCACTGTTAAATCTGCTCTCTGGCACTGATGGAATAAAGCTGAGAGAACAGCTTGACATTCAGGATCTGGACAGAATTGGTGCTAGTAAAAAACAAAACAACTTACACATGTAGATGGGATACATTTGATGAGCCAGACTTAAGAAAGGGAAAATGGGGATTCACACAAAAATACTTTCCTACTGTATTCTTAGTCCAAATATGTCTTGTTATTTTTAACGATTTTAATCATAAATTCTTAAATGTCATTTGAACTAGAGAGGGTGTGTTGCACATGAGGAAAGCCAATGTACCTTTCCAACTGAGCTGCTCAATATATATACTAAAAGAAAGAGAAATAGATAACATTTCATATCCTAAATGCAGTCAATCTCCTTAAATATTTAGTTAATTCTTAATAAAATGATAATTAGCAAAATAGAAATTATATAACATATTGATCATGAAATAAACTACAAATTAGTACTTTGTTGTTCTGCATATATGTATTAGGTTCTGTTGAACTGACTCTCACTTGTAGCAACCTATATACAACAGGAAAAAAAGGACTAGCCATTCTTGCATCACTTTGTTGAGGATTGTTTATTATCATCAGCCTTCTACCTAGCATGATATCCTCCTCTTGGAACTGGAAACTCCTGACAACAATTTCAAAATAAGAGAGTCTTGCTGCCTTGACTTTTACAGAGCATTTTGGCTTTACTTCTTCTATGAAATATTTGTTTTTCCATGGTGCATTGATATTCTTCACCAGCATCATAATTCAAATGCATCAATTCTTTGTTCTTTTTTACTGTCCAATTCTCACATGTATATGAGGTAATTAAAACTACCTCAGTTTAAGTTACATATACCTCAAGGGTCAAAAATCTTTCATGTTGAACACTTTAAAGAGGTCTTTCTAATAAATTTGCACAATGCATTATATCTTTTGATTTCTTGGCCACTTCTTCCATGGATGCTGATTATGGAATCAAGTAAAAGAAAGTTCTTTACAACCTCAAACTTTGTATATTCAGTAAAACACAGATAGACATTCCTACTTTCTCTACTTTAAGCCAACCTCCATCACAGTGTTTATTAGACATTGGTTATTTTCATTTATACAGGATCATGCATGTTTCTGTTAAGTCACAAAGACCAATATCTATACACAGAGAAGTCTAAATGACATTTAAATTTTCATAGACTTTATTGTGTTTAGAATTAATATTTTTAAACAACACAGGTGGGAGAAGGATGGGCAATCTCCCCCCATGCAATTAACTGCCTCCGAAAACCTGCTGATCAGCTACAGGTCGGTTCCGACTCTATGATACACTAAAATAACTACAACATATAGGATATAATCAAGACTGTTGTCTTACTCAAGTTGTTTTATTCTTTTAGCACTTAACATAGAATAGGTATGTATATTATTTTTATTGTAATGGAATGAGTAATACTGAATAGTATTAAACCACTAGTATTCAACTAATAATAAAATGGAATGATATTAAATAAATAACAGTATTAAATTAATGGCTAACTAAATAGTTGATAATGAAATAGTTAATAAGTTAGTTGAAAAAGATGATTATCCCTTTCTTCAAATCCATTTCTTGGCATACTATTGCCTTCAAACTTGTTTTCATTTATATTACATTAATACAAATATATTGTGATATTTCTAGAAATTATTAATGATCTGTGTTAAAAGAAATTCATGGACAAATTAATTTTATTAATTGACCCTGCTTGCCTCTAATGACCTAGACTCCTCAAAAATTGTTAGGCTTCTTAGGTCTAGAGATTGTTGTTGTGTTGTTATGTGCCATCGAGTTGCTTGCGACTCATAGCGACCCTATGTACAAGAGCTCTAAATGCCGTTCTATCCTGTGCCAACCTAGCCATCTCAAACGCACTCATTCTCACCACTCCAGTCACAGAATCAATCTATCTCAATGAAGGTCTTCCTCTCCTGTGCCGCCCCTCCACTCTGTCAAACATGATGTTCCTTTCCAAGGACTCCTTGCAACGTGCCCAAAGTATGTCAGACTAAGCTTCAGAATCCTTGACTCCAAGGAGCATTCCAGCTTCACCTCCTCCAGGACAAACCTGTTTATTACCCTAGCAGCATGGTATATTCAACACTCTTCTCCAGCACTCCAGCTCAAAGGCATCAAT